ACGGTCATGACAGTTTCGTTCCTGACGGACCGGACGATGAAACTGCAAATGGCAAAACGGAGCTCAAACCGGAGACAGAAATCACGGGCCGTGGAGGCGCGCGGATCCACTATTTGCGCAGCTGTTCAAACGGCTCGCACCGCGAAAATACTACCTCGTCATCCGTTTTTAAAATACCCGGAGTCCTCGGAACGACGGCGTGTATGTACGTCCGCTGTTCCGAGGACCTCGCGGCGAGTCATTAACGGGCCGAGAAACGTCTTGACCTGTTTCTCGAGGTGCGCCGTCGTTTGTTCTCGTCGCTGTCATCGTCATCGTCATTGTGGTGGCCGCGATCTAGAGCGCACCGTCGCCGCCAGACCGGTGTGTTATCCGCCTATTTCGCAACTTTCACAGGAAGCAGCCGTCTAGAATTCCACGCCGCGTACACATCGCGAAGAATGTTTCGCACGAGGTGAGAAACTTCAAGTTGCGCCGCGGTGCGAGCGCGCGTGTAGATGCGACTTAGCGACTCTCGAAATTACACGCCGGATTGCTAAAAATAGATAGAGATAAAGAATGGACGGATGTGTGCGGTTAAGGAATTGTAAACCAAGTCTCCCTTTTTGTGGCTAGGTAAGTTGAAGGACAATATACTGATACTCTGATTAGTTAGGATTCTGTCAAAGATGGCATATTTTTAACATTCTCCTTTGAACATTTTAGACACGCGGAAAGCTTTCTCAGCTAAATCGTATCTCGCTCTTTAAACTGGAATTAGAGTCTTCTCACTATAAAGTGAAGAAACAGACTCAGATCCTTTTTATCTTAGCACATGGAAAATAATTACTTGAAATGTATCGTAATGCGCCGAAAGATTTGGACTATGTGACGAAACGAGATTTTTGTTCAATCCCTGAGGGCCTGCGCAAGGCTCCTACGAGATATTAATCCGCATTTCATTCGCATGGTACATTCCATACTCGGACAGAGGTACGAAAAATCTATCACGGTATTTGTCAGCTGCCTCGACGCATACCGCGTGGGACATTGTCATGGAAACTTGCAGGCCGCATTCGCAGGAACGCCTCGTCTAAGCTCGGCGATGCACAATGCGCGCGGTATTAACCCACATATACGGTTTTCAGCAAATACTGTGAAAGCGGCAAACAGCAGGTAATAGGAACGTGCCGCAAAATACGGTGGAGTCGCCTCGGAACACGCAAACGTGAAGAGTCCGACCCGAATATGACCCACGCAAACATCAGCGAGCTTTGGAAAGTTTTTTCCGCTTCCTTACAATCGAGACATCGAGAAAGGGGCTGAGAGGGAGCACTCGAAGGAAAGATATGACGCACGTTGAGAGCGCGATCGTGTGGAGCTGTTAGAAAAAAACATCGAACTTTAAAATGGTGAACATTGTTTCATCCTAAAACGCGCCATGACGAATAACCGATCCCCTATCGATTGCGACGGGTTATCCCCTGTAACCCTTGTCATCATAACTTTCTACAACGAGCTCGAGGCTCGTGTTCCAAAACTGGGCGACTCGTGAAAAAGTCCAGAAATGCGCGAGCCACCCAAGAGAGTTATTCGAAACCGCTTTTCGTCCGACTCGTAAGACAGCATCAAATACAAAGGTTTCTCTGTTCCTTCGAGATCGTTTCTCTTTCACTTTTCCCTCTAGGAGGTTCACATTTATCAATTACGATATTCAGTTTTTTCTAGTTTCTCTGATGTCCTCCATTCTTACGAATGATATCTGTATTTTGGGAGAGAAAAGGCGCCGATGTCGGTTTCTTCAATTTTCACCGTCACAAAAGTCGTACGTGGAATTTATAAGCTGGAATTGTCGACTTCTCAGATATTTTTTTCCAACTGCAAATTTCGTTCTTCGATTTTCGAAGGATATTAGTTGATCGACAATCCTCTTGCAAATTCCAAAACTCCCATATCTAAAAACTGAAAGAATCGGTTCCCCTTCGTTACAGTAAGATGCGGAAACAATATTTTAACAAGCTCGCATCGATAAACTCGCGCTCCGGCGCTGTTTCGAGGTACTGATTCCCGAAGGTATTGAAATCTCGCCTGCGGGCACAGAGTAATCTTCACGAAGTAACGCGGGAAGATATATAAAGGAGCGGACAAGAAGAAAGGACGGGTGAAAAAAGAAGGAGGAAACGACTCGCGCACTCACGGCAGCGGCGGTGGCGGCGGCGACGGCGGCGGTGAGGAGGAAGAGAAGCGGGAGAAAGATCAAGAAAAAGAGAAAGAGTGAGAGACAGGTAAGAGGCGCGCTCGCAAAGGTGACCGAAGCTAGCTGGCCTGGTCGGTTTGGCCCCGTGGGAACGCGTTGGTGGCCAGCTGCACTGATTGCCGTGAGAGGACGTGACGTAGCGTCGTCGAGGAGCGTATACACACGCACACATGCACACATACAAACATGTTTACATATTATACATATACACGCAATACTCACGTTCCATGCACACACCACGCATACGAACGAGCACGCATATGCACACACGTGCACGCAACGTCAACGTGCCCGTGCGCCCGCACTTGCGCTTGCGTGCCGTAATTGGCGATGGTAGTGGTAGACGACGAAGTCGCAACGGTGGGACCCGTAGGGGGTTGGGTACCGAGAGAAACGAATAGGGAGGTGGTGTGGAGGGAGGGAGGGCGGCAGAAGAGGAGATGGAGTGGAGAAGCAGGGAGCGGAGGGATCCAGCTCGACCGACTGGCGGGACGGGCGCGCGGGAGCGGGGCCTGCATTCCTGAGAGGCGCCGGCCAGTCTGCGGCACACCTGCGCGTTCGGTTGAATCACGGCGCCTCCGACATAACCCAATCTCGTCGTCCTTCTCCGATTCGTTGCGCGTCCCGCCGCTCCATGCTTGTCCGTCCTCGTCGCGTCCGCAACCACTTGCTCGCCTCGCTCCTTCTCTCTCTTTCGCTCGTTCGCTTCGCTCTCGACCTCGTCCCCTCGAAGAAGCGGCGTTCTCCGTCTCTGCCTGGCCGAGCGACTCGTCTCTCTTCAACACTGGTCTTCTTCTTCTTCTTCTTCGTCTTCTTCTTCTCCTTCGAGAGATCTTTCTTTTCCTCTGATTCTTTTTCTCTCAGAAATACGAGAGTGACCGCGTGTTTCGTGGCGCGAAGTGCGTGGCGACCTGTAGCGATGTGTCCCTGTCGCTCCTTCTCCTCTCTCTTCAGTCTTTCCTCGCGTTCCACGCGTTCATGCCATTATTACTCGTTCCATTTTAACCGACGTGTCTCTTTCTCTCCCATTCTCCCGTTCTCCCGACTTCTTGCGGCTTTTCTTTTAGTTTCTGATTCTCTCCTTATCGTGCGCATGAACGCGTACGTGATTCTCAGGTTCCGCTCCTTCACACCGTGGGAGGACCGACCGCGGTGCCGCGAGATCCTGAAGAGAGAAGGAAAGGGGGGAGAACGCGGCGCGGGTGTGAAGGAGGCTGATAGACCTAGGCTGGGCCGCCGATCTTACGTACAATCGGAGGAGGCGTGCAGGTGTCCATCGTTGTTCACGTCCGACGCGTCTCTGTCAGTGCCGCAATCTAAGTCCGGCCACCGTAGCAACGGCTACGAACTGACACCTGTTCCTCGTCGAGGTCGGTGCATACGAGGCGCGCCCCAATTGCGTCACGGTTCGGTCAACTTCACCCAAAGACTCGCGCTCGTGGCCGAGGAAGTTAAACATTAAATTTGTTAGAGCTGAAAATGTAATTTGTCAAACTCGAAAGCCCGCAGCTTGATCGGTGCTCTCGACTTTGATGAATTTAATTCCTAAATAAGACTGTCCCTCTTCGATAAATTTAATGTTTAACTCAAAGTAATCACCGACTAAAGTAATTCTTGGATTCTTGAAAATTGAATTCTCGAACACTCATAGACTTGGGAACGAATAGCTCTCAGGAGAGAGATCCGTTTCTTTTTCCTCTTTTCTTTTTTTTTTATCGCTTCCTCTCGAATATACACTCGGCAGTCTTGGGAGATCTGCTATCGCGGAAATCCATTTCTCAATAGTATACTATTGAGAACGAGGCAGAACTAAGAGGGTACGCAGGAGAGGGGAAACGTGAGATGAGAATTGGACGATTTACGCGAGGAATACAGGCGGCTACGATGCCGCCGGACGCGAGGGACCCGGGGCTCATTCAGTGACGTGGGAACGTGTGCAGATACCATTCATAAGTCGACCATATGATGTGTGCGGAGTGGCCCGTATGTGAGTCCGTATGCGTAAGTGCGCACATGGTCGAATCTTGCATAAGGCGCACCGCGCCTCTCGCCCCGCTTTTATATTGTATATCGTTATCGGAGCGGCACGAGGCTTCTATCGAGAGTATTAATTATTCACAGCTGTCAGCTCGGTAAACCCCTTGTTAAAAGCGGATTTTCTATTCACACTAAGTAGATTCACAATGGAGAACATTTTCTATACAAGGGATTAGTATCGATATGAATTCTCCGAATAAAATAAATCAAGAGAGAGAGAGAGAGAGAGAGAGAGAGAGAGAGAGAGAGAGAGAGAGAGAGACGACTGAAAGTGCGAAAAGCGTTTCAGCAGGCAAATACGGGCCAATGCGCACCTTATCGGTCGTGAAAGTGAAAGACTTATCGTCCGTGAGGGACTTTCGAGTCGATTAGCTCGAGACATTTTGGAATATTTCTTAAAATACTTGCATTTTCACGTCAGTCTCTCGGCGCATTGACTCGTATTTGCCTGTGAATTGAATCACTCCTCCCGAGAGGATTTATTCGTTATTCTATTTGCCCGATCTCCCACGCACGAGCGAGGAAACTCGCGTTTCATTCAGAGATTCTCTGGGTTGCACATGAGTGAATTCGGATCGCGCACCGGTATCGTTCACGCTCGAACTGATTTCGTAGCCGTCACTGACACGGGAATCAAGAGAGCCTCCGAGAGTAAACCCGCGGTCTTTCCTTCACGGCTTACAATGAGCGTCGTGGGACTCGTGGGAGCCTCGTATTCCGTTCTTACCTCGTTCCAGCGTGTACGCGGCTCCAACTCCTTGTCGTTTTGTTGTCGGACAGCCGTGGACGAGAGCTCGAATTTCCGCCAAGATCGGAGAACGCGCTTTGGGCGACACGTCCTTGGGCCCTTTTCTTGAAGAAGTCCTTCAAAAGAGGAGAGAAAGAGAGAAATTCTTCCAGAGGAAGAAGTACGGCACTCCATCTGAAATCAAACGAATAAAACTGTTAGAATGATAACAGTTACCTTATTCGATCTAAAAACATATCTAACATATTATATTAGAATTAAGAATGATAGGAAGATAGAACTCTTGGAGTAATAAAAAAAAGTTCTTTAAAAATTCATTTAATATATTGTAACGAGAGTAATATCCGAATGTTGGGAGTCGCTAAAGTGCCGTTTCCGATAAAAAGCGTTAAATGGCGATAACGATAATATCTGTTGCTGACTGATAAGCGTGGCATCGTCAAATAGTCCGTTCTCGGGACGGGATTTCATGCGTGTCCGTGTGAGTTCCCGATTCAGAGAGTGCTGGCGTACCTGCGGCGCGCACCTGTACGAGCCCAGGTTTATCGCCGTAACAGCTAGCAGCCACCTGTGCGGCAGAGATGGTCGTACAGGTGTCTCTTAAAGCGTTACATTAATTACAAATGAGCAACGGGTAACCCGTGGGTACCCCGTGGCTTTAGCTGTCGTCATTTCGCGCACCGCACCTGGGCAAACGCGCTGATTTTCTCTCGCTTGGCCTCGACCCCCGAAAGTAGGTGACTCGATGCCGTTGAAAAGAAGAAGTGTCGGCGGTGCAGAACGTGCGGAAGCAGCAGCAGAAGGAAAAAGTAAGGAGCAGCAGAAGATGATGAAGAAGAAGAAGAATCGCATAAGACTATCGCGTGTGCTCACTCTTGACCGCGAAGTAGAAAAAAGGCCCGTCAAGTTGGTGATGCAATCGTTGCACATGCAATGGCGCAATAAATTCCAGCTACGTGTCAGCTGGGGATCAAGGCGACCAAATGTATCGCGCGCGCACGAGAGAAAGAAAGAGAGAGAGAGAGAAATACAGAGAGGTGGGTTTCTATGTTTCCGTGTGGCATTCGAAGGATACGGACCCGCTCGTTTAGCATTTTTCGCAAAGAGCGAATGTTACGGTAGACCTCTCGTTGGATTTTTGCACGACAAAGAAGCGGCTGCCACATTTTTTGCCCGGCTCAATCAAAATTTTTGCACTTGCGAACAATGCAAACGCTTGACGCGCAAAGAACCTGTGCTATTTCCGGTATCAGGCGAGGCAACGAGTCTTTTCTTCCTTCGTTACTTGACCTCGTTGAAGGATACGCCGTTTCACCGGCCAAAATGAGCGGCCGTCTGTACAAGTGGCATTGAGCCACTTCTACCGAGACAATTCGTCAGGTCTCAGAGACGATATTCGCTTTCGAAGACTTTTTCAACGGAGATAAGTGTCGACCTCCCTCTCACCTTCGGTGAGTTGTATTGTCTACTACAAACTCCTCGTCAGCTTTCCTTACACATAACTAAGAAGTATCGGCGTCGATACTTGCTTCTCGTTACTGAAGAGTCATTCGGGAAGACTGAAATAATAAACCAAAATTACACCACGCACTCAGTGTTGTTCTCCTTCTAAATTTCTTCGAGCGTAATCTCAAAACGAGTAAAAAGTGGCAGCATCTTTATTCGAAGCGATAGCGAAAATATTGCAACTCGAAAGAGTGAGTGTTTCACTCAAGCTCAAAGTGGATTCTGACTTTACATGAGCGAATGTTTCAATCAATTGAAGTAAATATATTCTTATGACAATGGAGTCCATCAGGTTCACTTTTCGATTTCGAGTGAAGATGTTTGCCCGACAATTCAAAGTATTTACTCCATATGAAAAATTCGAAGAACTCAGTAATCATTCTACCGAACCAATTTTAAAAAATGTAGAAAATTCTTTCTTTTGCTTTTTTGTCTTGGCTGTTTCCTTTTTCAGCTTTCCAAACTCTACGACATCGTAATATCTCGAAGAACCGCAACAACAAGAGCGTTATGACAATAAGCAAGGAAGAAAGAAGAGATGGTGGATTGGAAAGATTTTCGATTTGGGCGGAATTAATAGCGAGTACCGTACGGCAAGCATCGCGAAGAGGAAGGTAAGTATTTCAGTGAACGCGCACCTCGAGGTGCACCCGTGCCTGCCAGTGTTTGCCGCAGCAACCTGGCGCATTCGAAGCCTGAATGTTTCCAAGCGTGGTGACGCCTGGCATTTCTTCGCGTTCCTTTTCTTCGCCTCACGCACAAGTCGCCGTGATGTGGTCCATACGTGTCCCTCGTTGTCCCTCCTACACGACCACCCAAACGACAGTCTTGGGTATCTCTCTTCTTTAGAAATTCCTTTTCGATCTATCGTCGTCACGTCGAAGTACAACACCTGTTGGCTGGTACTTGCTACCTGGTAGCGAATTGTTGCTGGACACGAATCGCTACCTGTGATTTCATATGTACAACTATCCGATCAAGACAAAACATGACTAGTTCGGCATATTGTTATTGACAAGAGAGCAAGAAACAGCTCATATAAAAAAAAAGCCCCGAACAGAGACATGTATGTCTTTTCAGACAGAAACTTGCATGCATGCATCACGCTCGACGGCGGAGGAAAAGGCAGAAGAAGAAGAAGAAGAAGAATGGAGGCAATCGGAAGGTAGAGGCCCCGATAGCGCATAATAAAAGAACGAAAAGAAGAGAGGGACAGGGAGAAATCCCGAGGAGAGGACGAAGAGGAGGCAGTGAAGAGAGGAGAACAAGAAGCCGGCCTGGAGATCAGGTAGACACACACATATGTACGTACACGAAGACTCGTGACGGG